AATCTGCAGAGAGCGCCTGCCTCAAAGAAAAAAGTGTGGAGAGGGCCTGTCAGATAGCTCAGAGGGCAAAAGTGATTGCCACCAAGCTGGACGACCTGGGGTCAATCTTCAGGACACATATATCATGAAATCAGAGAGGAGACTTCCACAGGCTGTCTTGTCAGCCCTACATGTGCACTGTGGTACATGTTTACACACACACACACACACACACACACACACACACACACACAATGTAATGAAAGTTTAAATATATATATATAAAAACAAGATGGAGCTCAAAAGAGGAAAGCAAGCAATGTACATTTTTAGTGTCCACCTGCACACTCAGAGAGGTGCACACACACACCTGTGTGCATGCACACACAGACATACAAACTTGCACCCGGATGATGTCATTTTCATTTAGTAGAGTGAGAGTTTAAAAGTTGGAAACACAAGTTTTGCAAGTACGAAAATGTGTAACTTTACATGGTAACCTAGGATATTGCTTTTGTGTGTGTGTGTGTGTGTGTGTGTGTGTGTGTGTGTGTGTGTGAGCTCTTAGCTAAGTCACTATGTGTCTGTCTAGGAAAAGCCTTGCACGTACGGAGCTGGAGCACGTTCAAGAATTGCACTAGCTGTAACCGAGACCCATTGACAGAGGAAATTTCAAATGCCTATTGAACAGGAAAACAGAAAACTACATAGAATGTAGGAGTTTGACCCTGAGGGAAAATTCACAGCAGTAAAAATAAATCCACCAACTTGGATGACTCTCATGAGCATAATGTATAAAAAAAGAACCACAGGGAAGAACTCGCATATTATGAGTCATTTATCTAAAGTTCACCAAGTGTGCAAAACGAAATCCGTGTATGTGGAAACACCAGACAGAATGTCAAGTGCTTCTTTATTTAGGGTGGTGGCTCTTTCCATCTCTGGGGGAGGGTAGGAGGGGAATGGAGACATGATAGAAAAGTTTTTTTTTTTTTAAAAGCTTGGATACAATTTCATTAGTATTTATTTCTGTCACATATGGTAGAAATCGTCTTGCAAGTGGGTCTGTGTTTAATGGCAACAAAAATATAAAGTAGAATATACTTCATTTAAGTACTTATTCTGTGGTTTCAAGCTAGATGGATCTAGACCGGGGGGAGGAAAAAAAAATCAACAAATTCAAAAGAAGTTTCCATCAGTGAATTATGCTTTTCATTAAGAAAACAGAGAAGATGGGTAAGATGTTCAGCAACCAGCTGAGGTTTGGGTCATCCTGAAGCCCACTCCAGGCAGACTCGTGTGGGAAGCACCAGCTCGGGCACTGTTAGTGGCATGCAAATGCCACACAGCTGCGAATGCAGTTATACATGATGCCCTTCTTATCCCAGAAAAACCATTTCATGGAGACGAGGACTGTGTTCTCCGCCTATGACAGCAGAAAGCACTTTGCCTTCTTCCCCTGCATTTGTGGATGCTACCCATTCACGTTAGCTGCTCCCGGCCTCCCCCCTAGTCTGCTTTTTCACAGAGCAATCTCCTCCTCCTCGCAGATTCTCTTTCGATTTGTCTGCCAGATTTTTATTAAGCACTCAGGACTGCTGTTCCCTCCCTCCAAACGTCTCACATTTATCTCTAAATTTCTTACACCCTCCGCTTCACTGAGATTTACCAGAAAGCTATTTTGTATGCTCGTTTTTCTTTGCCGGTGTTCTCCAGTTAGTTTCGGGCTTTTAATGAGGTTCTATTTCTGAGAACCTTGTTCCAGAGACTTAGTCATTAGTTATGAAGATTTCATTTTTCTTAACTTTGTTAGAACTAATTTCTCTAATAGCCAAATTTGCTAAAGCTCTCTGCCAAAATGGCCATCCTGGCTGCAAGTAGCCAGAAAGAACAGCTGGGGACCTCTGACTCCATCTACCTGCCTTTCTTTACCTGGCCCATGACGATCATTATCATTTGTCTTGGTAACACTTGGGTACCTAGAGACAACCTGAAAATAAAAGCTGGGTACCACTTTCCCAGAATACTCAGTAGAAGGATGTCTTCACTTTGGTGTTAGTATATCCCCTGGCTTTCTCCGTGTCCCTACCTAAATTTGGTATTAACGTTCCCCTACCATCAGCCTAGCACAAATGAGCACGAAAAGATGTCTCAAATGCAGATGCTGAAATCTGGTACAATAAACTATCTAAAATTCACACCATCTGTGTCCCAAACCTAGGGGCACAGCAACCAATTCATTTACAGGATCATTCAGCTCCTTGGTATTAATCTGGATTTGAACAATTTTACTGTGCCAGACAAAACCTTAGCTTCTATCAGACCATTACCTGGAGTTTTTCTTTTTGATATTCTTGATAATAAAAATGGGGAGGCTATATAGCTTCTACCAAATGAATTTGATCATGTGTGTGTGTGAGTGTGTGTGTGTGTTTGCAGAGAGGCCACACATTGAAATTGGTGGTGACAAAGTGATGTTAATATGGGAGAAATGTGTTGTAGTAGTTCAAATGCTCTATTTGAGCTCCTTTTTTAGTGGTAGTTCGTAATGTCTAGCTCACCTGGCTGTCTTAAGAGTCTTGGAAATTTACAAACCAAGTCATAAGACAGGTGAGGTTGACAAGGCTTTGTAAAGCCTTGCCGGCACAGATGTTTAAGCTTCGTATATACCTGCACGCCAATAATATCAAGGTGGGAACCTTGTAATAAACCGAGAAAAGGGTCCCTGAGAAAATTTATTATTGATTTTCCTAACCCAAAACCTATGGATTATCCAGTTAATGCATTAGTTTAAAATAATCAGACCATAAGTCATACAACTATTGATCGATCCTGGTCCTTGCTGAAGTAATTTAAATGTATCTGTGAATTAAGAGGTGGGTGTGTGGTCAAGCACAGCCATGCCCTCCAACTCTACAGGGCCAAAATATGGTCGAATTCTGAGACTTAGCTTATATGGGCTGTGCTGAGAACCACTGCTAGGGTTGAGGCTCTATAAACTTTTCACTCTCTATTTAGGCTTCTGTGGCTTGGAAAGACTATATGCACCCAGCCACTTAGACGTGTTTAAAGAGGTGGGAGGTGGCAGAGGGCAGCGACTTCTTCCTCATCCCAGAAGGCTCTGGCCATTTCACTCACGATCTCTGTACTGTGCTGACTTCCCTCGCACTGCAAAGATTAATTCTGTTTTATTTAATCACTTGTGAGCTGATGCTGCAGTGCAGTTCTGGCTTGGGCACGTGGCTCAGTGGGGACAGGTACTTACTGCCAAGTCTGACCACCCGAGTCCAACCCTCAGACCACACAAAGTGGAAGGAGACAGCCAACTCCCACAAGTTGTCCTCTGACCTCCATATGCATTCTCAGGCATGAGCACGCTTCCGCCATAAATAAATAAATATAATTCTATTAAAAAAAGAACATGCCATCTGGCTTGGGGGAAGCTATAGAGGCAAGAAGCCATGTGGAGTACTCTCCTACTGGTACCTCCTGCAGAGAAGCACAGGATAGTATTGGATCAGGACAGGGACTGTCTATATCTGGAGTCTGTCCCGTCTGGGGTAAAAGTCCACAGTCACAATCTCCCAGTTACCAGAGGGCTGTAGAGGAGGGAGGGAAACAGGTTTTGCATTCTTCCTACTTTTGTACTGTAGATAACTCCTTGGTTCTTGAAAGAGAATGATAGAAGATAGGCTTGGGAGTAGGAGTAACAGGTGCATTTTCCCAAGAATAATCGGTTGGCAGTTGTTAAGAAAGCAACAATTTGTAAGGACAAACTCTAGATGCACAAGAAGAATTAAACTTTCTTATGTAGTTGCTGGAGCCACTTGAGACAGGACAAAGATTTGTCCAGAGTTATAATTTATTGTTTTGTCATGTACTTCTTGATGGAAAGTGAGTTATTCTATCCATCATTACCTGAGAGAGACTGCTACGTTAAAAATCCCTCCTCAACTTGCACTCAAATTGAAAGTGTCTAACTGCTCCAATTTTTAAGGGCAACTTATGTGCAAGAAGCCAAATTCCCTTTCTCCTATTGTGCCAGGCTGTCCAATATTAAAGCCCAAAGGCCAGTTGATGAAAAGGAAACATTTCCAGAGAGGCATAAGGCCATTCGATTAATGTATGTGGAGGGGAGGAACATAAAAGAGAAAATAAATTTTGAAAGACTCAACCTCAATGGAAATGGAATCATTGAACCACAGAAGAATAATAGAGCTTGTCTCCATTTTATACTATTTCTTATATTTCTTTCCTCTGTCCTTTTTCTTTCATTTTCTCTTAAGAAAAAAATACCAGTATGTTGAGGTTTATTAATCTGTAGACATTTAAGAAGAGAAAAACAAGAGGCATTTGTAGCCTTTTATCTTTTTGGGTTTTTTTTTGAGAGTGTGAGTCATATTAATATTTCCCAGAATGGCCTCAAAGTTACTGTGGCTAGTATGTTGAGGTTTATTAATCTGTAGACATTTAGAAGAGAAAAACAAGAGGCATTTGTAGTCTTTTATCCTTTTGGTTCTTTGAGAGTGTGAGCCATACTAATATTTTCCAGAATGGCCTCAAAGTTACCACGGTCTCGACTCAATCATCAATGAATCAATCATCCTCCTGTCTCAACCTCCCCAGTGCTGGCGTTACAGGCATGTCCCACCACATCGCTCTTGCTAATATAATTCTTTCTAAGTGTTTGACCAAATCTTTAAAAATCAGTTTATGAAAAGGAGACGGCGAAACCTGCTTGTCTGAGAGGTGGTAACCTTGCTAATGCCGCGGTGGGGTTCTCATTAAGATCAAGGAGCTCAGCTGAATGCGGTGGTGCGTGCCCGTAATCCCAGCACTCACAGATGCAGAGGCAGGAGTAGCTCTGTGGTTTGAGGCCAGCCTGGTGTACAAAGGGAGTTCAGGACAGCCAAGGCTACACTGAGGAACCCTGTCTCAAAAAAACCAAAAACGCAAAATGAAAAAAAAAAAAAAAAAAAAAAAAAAAAGAGCAAGGAGCTCTGTAATGTGAAGCACCTTACCCTCATCCTTCCGTTCCTTATGGCTGGCCCATCCTCTGCCAATCTCAACACGTACAGATCCATTTTGTATTCCCTTCCTCCACGGATGCTGAATCCAAATCCTTTGGCTCCTTTCTCCATGTCCACAGTGAAATAATCAAAATCCTTTGAGAGTGAGGAGAAAATGGAACATGGAATTGTTTAGCATCGGAGGGGTTTCGATGGTCAGTTTTTCTCTCTGTGCACCCCCTCCCTCATAGTTAACGTGTTCAAATGGCAAAGTGTTAAAAGATGTCATCTGACTCTCCAAGTGCTGACATGCAGGACACAGCTCCAGAGGCTCAAGTAGGCCAGAACAGTTAACTCTGTTTCCTGATCAACTTGTGCTTATGGCATATAGGTCTGAATGATGTCATCTCTCCTGAATTTTCCCACTCATTACTATGGGTACCATAAGTAATCAATCAGTGTTGTGTCTCTGTGAGTGTAAACTAAAGTTTTCTGAGCTAAAAAATGAACTCGAGTAGGGTTTTGGCTGTATGTTTCAGTTGTACAGACCACTGAACATCAAGTCACAGGATAAAGAATCAGGTTTCCTTTCCCTGAAAATGTAGCATGTCCAAGACTTCCTGATTATGAACCCTCTTAAACTCTTGAGGGATAAAGTTGTCTTCATTTTAATAATGGGACACAATATAATCTGATAAGGAGGAACGTGTCCTTAATCTCTACCTTGGTATCTCATTAGCAAATGATGACTATTTACTAGACATTGAACTCTGGTCTCCATACCTTTCACAAAGGTTGACTATTTAACTTGGCCTGTAAAGAAGACCCACCCTTGAGGAAATGGAAGCCCAGGGAGGTTAAGAAAGTCTCAGGAGTTATGCTAGTGCTAACCAGTTATGAAACCAGCCGAACCTTTTGCTGTGCACACAGGGGCTTTTTGCTAATCCTGCAGCGTAGATTGTGAAGCCACGCTTGGCCATTGCTCTCTGCGTGGAGGAGGCTCGGCTCTTTACCAAAGTGGGAGGCAGGAGGCCATTTAGAAGCCATGGCTCTGAAAAACACTCCAATGGCTGGGAAATGTGAAATTTTCTGCATTAGCAGTACTCTGAGAGTCTAGCAGGAGCTTTAAAAAAAAAACAAAAAACCAAAAAAACAAAAAACAAAAAACAAACAGCAGGCAAGGCTATGTTCTTGGAGTTAGCCGATTAATTACCGAGGATTGGTTCATCCATGACTGTCCACTCACTCCTGACTCTGTTCTGATTCTGGAATGGATTGATTTATGCACTGGCGTTTTGGAGGTGCAGGTGTTATCCCGATATCAGTACCAGTAACAGAGCCCTCGCTCTCGGCTCCCTTCTCCTGCATCCCTTGCACATCAGGAAGTCTTGGTGGGGCCCCGTGATCCCCAGCAGAGGTACCTGTGGCTGCCTGTAGTCTGACAGAGGGTACTGCCTGGTGTCTGGGGAGTGCTGCCTGTAGTCCAAGGCTGGGGGCTGGGGGTAGTCCCCTCCTGGGGGCTGCCTGTAGTCCAGCGGGGGCTGCCTGTAGTCTGTGAAGGGAGGCTGCCGGATGTCTGGTTTCACGTCTTGCCTTGCTTTAACTTCTGACCTGTAACTAGATAGAGGGAAAGGGGTTTGCTTTGGTATTTCGGTACTCTTGAGAAGATTAGAACGTCTAACCGTGGTCCAGCCGCCACAGCCGTGGGGACCCAAACCTTGAGTTGGTCTTGCTACGTATTGAGGATTTAAGAAGATTAAGGAAACGGTATTATTTTAAAACTGCTGGCAAACGTTCTATTACTCACTTTCATTTGGCTCATTAAGAAGTCAACAGAAAAGTGATGTTTCCCTTAAAACTTTGTGGAAAAGTGCTCATGGGTATCCTCCTTTCACTGTGGCTATTTAAAAAGTGCACAGGTAGGGGGTTGGGTGGCTGCCTTAGCAGTTAGCAACACACACTGCTCCTACTGAGGACTTGAGCTCAGTTCCCAGCAGCCATGTCAGGTGGCTCACAAACACCTGTCATTCCAGCTCCAGGGAACTAGATTCTTTTGTACTCCTCATACAGAGATATACTCATATATACATAATTAAACATAAAATAAATCTTTATAGAAAAAACCCAACTGCTCAATCACTATAAATCTAGGGAATCCAAACATGTTTTTTTCACCTTTTCTTTTCTTTTCTTTTCTTTTCTCCCTCTATAACCCCCACCTGGCTTCTATCTCAGTCTCTGTCTCTGTCTCTCACAAACACACATCTTGATATATCATCATGTCATGTAAACATAATTGAAATAATCACCAAACAGTTTATAAACATATTATTAATGGACATTTTTTTAAAAAAAGTTTTATTTATTTTTATTTTGTATTGTATATGTGTGCATGTGTGTGTATGTTTGAACAGTGCCTTTAGCAGCCAGAATAGAGCACCAGATCCCTGGAACTGAAATTATAAAGGGTTCTGAGGCACCATGTGCATGCTGGGAACTGAACTCCAGTTCTCTGCAAGAGCAAGTGTTCTTAAACACTGAGCCACCTCTCCAGTCCCAATCCAGAGTTATTTTAACTGCTAAGTTGTATCTTTTTGAGCATTTTAGATGTTAAAGAAGTGGTAGGAAGGCATGATCCTTGAATATAATGTAGGCCGAGAGTCACTGGCTCAGTGAAAAAAAATTGGAGCTATGTTGTAGAGGTTTAATCATGAAAGCTCAGCTTCTGGGATCAGTACTGATTTCCACTGCGGTCATGTGATAGGAGGAAAGGCAAAATGACCCAGTGCAACATTCGTTTCTGGCTTATTTTTCGTTCTCACACACTAATAAACACAGAGAGCACCGAGAAACACAAGAGCAGCTGAGGGATCTCCAGGCATTCCCGCTGTTCTAAGCTCAGGGGGCACCCCGGTCACAAAGGGAATGCCAGCCAAGTCCTGGCAGTGTGGAATCACAGGTACATGGCGAGGCAAACAAAAAACAAATCGGCATTGTGGAATAGAGACACTTTAATTTAAACTTTAATTTAATTTTAATAGTTCACTGCCTGGGTGCTGTAGCACAGATGCGGTTAGATTGCAACAATATTCGGAAGAATTAGGGAAATGCTTTTTTTTTTTTTGTTTTTCTTTTCTATTTCTTTCTTCCTTTTTAGACAAAGCTGTGTAGCTAAGGCTGGTCTTGAATTTGTGATATGCCTCCATCAGCCTCCTGAGTGACAGGACTGCAGGTGTGCGCTACCATGTCTGGTGGAATTAAGGACATAGCACGCACAAAAAGGTTCAAAGTTTGTAGAGCTTAACATTTAAGACTAGATAAAGGTTTCTTTACTGGTTTATGGTCTCACTGATGCTGACTACTGACAAATATAGAAAAAAAAAACAGTTCACGCTGAACAATTAGCAAATAGCCCAATATTTGGGGAGGACACAGTGGGAGTTGCAGAACAATGGATGGGTTCACTGGGCTTCTTGGAAGGGGGTTAGTAAGTAGCTTCAACCACCCCTTTGAGAATGCTGTGGTTGTTACTCAGCCCTGCAGAGAGGGAAGACATTCTTTCTATGGATTGTGTAACTCAGGCTTTGCTTTATTCCTCACTCCGTTCACCTAGCGCGGTGCAAGCTGTGAACAGAATTATTTAAAATACGATTTGAATAAGACACTTAACTATGCACAGGCACGCGCTAAACAAAAGGAACAGATCTGGGTGATGTTTGCCAGCGTGTGTTGGTCCCCTTCTAGAAATCGCTGGCCTGGTGGTTTGACTGTCACGCTGTTTTAAGTTATAGCATAGCCATTTTATTTTTATGATCTGTGTGGTATTGGTATGAAATATCCATTATGTGCTCCGTTTCCAACCAGCTGTGTCATGAGGTTTCGTGAAAGAGGATGGAATGTAAAAATCTCCCCAAAGATTAGACAAATGACTAGAAACGGGAACAGTGAAGTTTGCTGCAGCTGTCATCTTGGCCACCAAGCACTCAGACTCCCCTCTCTCCTACTGTCATGTGTCAGGATTTTCAGTTATAAACTTCACACTGAAAAGTTGTTTTGCAAGGAAAATGTACTTAATTTTTTATGAATGTCGCTAACTTTTAAGTGAGTGATACACTTGGCTGGAGCAAAAATTAGGTTGGGATGAATATGTCTAACACTTCACTTTATGGAAAACACAAAATTAGATTATATATATATTTATATATATATAAAGCCAGGTTTCAGGCTAGAAAGATGGGCCGGTTGGTAAAGAGTTTGCTGCGAAAACGCCAGGTCCCACATAAAATCCAGGCACAGTGGCCTGCACCTGTGATCTCAGCGTTAGTGAGGTAGAAACGGGAGGATCCTTGGCCTTGCTGGTCGCACTGTCTAATCAACTAGTGAGTTCCAGGTTCAGCGACTCTTTCTCAAAGCGACTCGCACGCACGCATGCACGCATGCACGCACCCACGTAGACCCACGCTCCTGAAAGTGATTTTACTGAAAAGGGAAGGTCACCAACCTAGTTCTCGTGGTTGTTAATTCCCCTCTTAAAGATACTTTCAAGATGACAAAGACAGACGGCAAATAGTAAACTCTACTAAGCTTTTATGGTGTGGTAAAGTTCCAAGACTAAGCGATGCTGCCCGGGAGATACTCCACAGCTTGTGAGCGTTTATGCATCATTTCCTGGGGCGGGAGCCCATGAGTGAGCGCTCAAGAGCTAAAGCCATTAACAATGGCTGAGTGGGAGAATTTGCCACCAGCCGAGGAGTTTCCTGATTGGTTAACCAATACAGAGCGCTCAGCTTTAGAAGCATGCACAGGCAGGCAACACCGGAAGGCCTCACGCAGCAGGCTGTATTTATGTGTTATTTGTTGGATGTGTGTGTGATAGTAATGGTTAAAGAGGAGGAGGTCCATAATTGGTGAGAGGAGCTGGAGATGGGAGGGGCAGGAAGGAGGAAAGGAATAAATGATGTATTCACATTTTAACTAAATTAAAAAAAAAAAAAAGAATTATTTCCAGCCTTAAGTATCCAGGGTTCAGTATGTTTAAAGGAAGACATTTCCAGTGCTCTTCCATGGGCCTCGTGGCTTTAAGCGGCAGACATCAATTGCCCTTGTTGGTGAAGAGAACTCTGTTCTTTGTGTTTAGTTTGCACATATATTCTGTAATCGTTCTTCTCTCTTTTTTAAAAGAGATCCTTCTCGCTTTCACTTACGATCATCTTAGAATTACTTTGTGATTCCTCAGTACGTAGGGCAGCGTAGGAAGTTAACCTGGGAGTAAATGAGAGAGTATGCGACAGCACTTATTGGGATTTGCAGGATGGAAACAGTCAAGAAGACTGCCATTATAGCTCATCCTGCTCTTGCACAGGAAATGGCTCCCTCTGACCTGTGAGATGGGCGTGTGAGATGGTATGTGAACTGCCTTGGCAGCATGTCTTGCCTGATCTAGAAATAGGCAACGAGTTTTTCTTTGGCCATCTCCGGAGGAGCCTATGAAAATGTTTCTGATACCTGTAAAGTCATTGAATATTTTGGTTTCTACATAAATGAATCACCAAAGACAATAAAAATATAAGCCAGGGAACCCGAGCACAGGCCTGTAAAGGTTGTTAATGGTACCAAAACAAACATGCTGGCGATTTATACAAATTTGAATCATGTAAATATGCTAATTTTAGATTTAGGAAATATTTTATTTTGTGGTGAAGGATGAAGTATTTGCAAAGAACATTGCTTCCAGGAGAGGGAGAGAGGAGGTCCCAGTTGTCAGCTAGGAGCCTACAGCGGCTGAGCCAGCTGCTCTCCCAGGGGAACTTTAATACACTCCCATGCTTCAGCTCTTCACCAGAGGAGAACCTTTTCTGGAGAGATGCTGGCTAGTGGACCAGGAGAACTGACTGGCTACTAGAGATGAGATTACCTGCCCATGGCTAGAGGCAAGACGCAGGTCCAGGGCAGCTGCCCCCTAAAAGAAGGGGTGGGTTACAGAATTACTCTACGATGGCAAAACCAGGAGCAGGAGTGTGCTAAGACTGGCTGAGGGACCACAGGGGCACCCAAGCCTTCCCGCTGGAGTCTCGGATGGATCCTGGAGAAAACCAGTGCAATCTGTCCCCATCCACATGGTGTAAGCAAGCCCGGCTGGGGCTCATCACTGAGTAACCTGGACTACCTCTTCTTTCGGGGTGTCATGCTCTTCCCTCTGCATCATTTGCTCAATGGGGCTTCTCTCTTCCCCATCATGCACTAAGACATAAGCAACCAAGGACAGCCAGGCACGCACTTTTCTAGGAGAGCACAAAAACACATGGGAAAAATCATAGGAGATTTTTTTTTTTAATGGAAATGACACCTGTGGTATAGGGGGAATCATTGTTCAGAGAGTTCTGAAAATAAAAAGAAAAGTCTTGCTCCATCTTCTGTGACGTGGTGGGGGGGGAGGAGAAGGAGGAACATGGGAAGCAGCTGTTTAGAAAATTCTGGAATCATAAGGCTAAGGAGGCATTTGCATTCTGATATGTGTTTTGTTTTTCTCCTGTTGGAAGGAAGAAACACACATGGGAACAAACCCTTATCTATTTCTTTAATGGCTCAACCCAAGCCAGGTTCTTTGTTATACACAAGTCACAATAAGACGGTAGCATTTTTATATGTCACTCCTGTCTTTGAAAGGCTCAAAAAAACCTTATTCACATTATCAGTTCAGAAGGTCCCGATGGGGGATGGGTGACTCTCATTAGAGAGGGCAATGCAAAGTTATCGGTCAGTTACGGAAATGTGGGGACAGTCGTGGTTGGCTAGGAGTCCTTCCGCTTCCCCTCTCCTCCGCACTGCCATTGTGCTCCAAACTACTGTGTTTATGGCTCAGTGCTTTCCCGCAGCCACCTTTTCACTCTTAATCTGCTTTACCCTGGCAGCCTTCAGTCTGCTCTCCAAACAAACAAGAGAGAGTTTCAGAAAAGAAAATCCAATAATGTCACTTGCCAACCTGGAACCTACAGAAACTCCCCACTCTATTCAGAGAAACATGGGGACTTTTTAATATTTTTACCAGAGTCTTTGGGTTGGCTTCGTCACCCTCAATGGGTTCATCTCTAGCTGCTCCCACACCCTATTCCACAATAACTCTAGCCTTCATGCTTGGATCTCTCTCCTGCCAGAGGACCTTTGCCTGTGTTATCATTCTGGTAGCTCCTTTCTGCTTTCAGGTGGCTAACCCAAGTCATCTGTGATGTCTCAGCATTTCTACACAGAAGCATCTCCTACTGTGCAGGACAGATGTTGAGTTATAGTTACCAACGAAACAACACATTTAGCACACACATTCATTTCTCCCCTCCCTTCCTCCCTCCCTTCTTCCCTCCTTTCCTCCATGCCTCTCTTTCTCCCCCTCTCCGTTTCTCTCTGGAACCATACAAAACTACACTCAGTAATTCCAGGTCTAGGATAACCTCCCTCAACCCCTGCATCCTAACCGTCCCCAGGCATTCTCTCGTCACCAAACCCATCTCTCAGAGTCAGAAAACTCAGAGGAAACATTTACCTATTTTCATGTCCTTGCGGCTGAAGAGGTTGAGGAGGAGCTGGCTGGGCAACAGGGCTGTTGGGGGTGACTGGGCTTGGCTGGGCCAGTGGGCTCTGCTGGGCCAGAGGACTGTGCTGCTGGGCCATGGGGCTCTGCTTCTCTGAGCTGGGTGCCGAGGTGGGACTGTTGAGCTCTGATGGGGAACCAAGGCAACAGATGTGGTCAGGTTGGCAAAAAGTAAACAGGGGCTAGGACTTGGAGCTTCCTTGTCTGATTCAAGGCCTTGGTCGATTCAGTTTCTGCTCGGCTTTTTGGGAGTAGGTTAAACTTACCCAGCTCCACACCATTCCTGGAAGGACTGTTCTTTCATTAACCATAACTGTTAAAGAGGAAAGTTATGAACAGTCTTTTGTCATTTTGTTGGAAGGAAGGGTCACAGAAGCAAACAAACAAAAGCAGAAACAACGAGCTAAAACTGTGAGAAACAACCCAAAGGGACAAGCATAAAACATATCCTGATATCCTAAAAATATTGGAATGTCTGCTGAGAGAAATGTTCTAGATAACACCTTTTGGTGGTTTGAGAAGTCTCCTGTTCTGATACAGAGCCAGTCGCGTTATCCATTGCACCACTGGCCCAGCAACTGGTCCCATGGGTTCCTGCAGAGACTGAAACGCTAACCAAGGACTACACAGGAAGAGGACCTAAACCCCTGGTCAGATGGAGCTGATAGGCAACTCAGTCTTCATGTGGGTCTCCTAGTAAGGGGAGTATGAGCTGTCTCTGAGATGGACTCTGTTGCCAGCTCTTTGACCACTTTGGGGTGGCATTGCCAGGCCACAGAGGAAGAGGATGCCAGCAGTCTTAATGAGACTTGATAGGCTGGGGTCAGATGGTAGGGGGCCTCCCCCTTCTGAGAAATAGGGGAGGAAAATGGGGGGGAGGGGGACAGAGGGTGGGAAATAGGGGAGGAAAAGGGGGGGAGAGGGACAGAGAGTGGAACCAGGAGGAGATTAGGGAGGGGGCTATAATTGGGATGTAAAATAAATAAATTATAAAAAATAAAGTTAAATTTTAAAAAAAGTCTTCTTTGCTTTTTGACACAGCCTCACTCTGTAGCCCAGCTGATCCTGAGCTGGCCATCCTTACTTCACTTTCCAAGGAGCTGGGTTTATGGGAGGTAGGTGTGTGTGCTATGACATCCAGATCAAGAATTCTTACCAGGCTTCCAAGGCATGGCTAGGGAGCAAGCTGTCTGTATAAGCTAATAAAGGCTGTTACAATCTCTTCTCTGGTTCCTTGCCAGTCGAGACCTCTGTACAGTTCTCCAAGAGGAAAAAAAAGAACTCCTCACACAGGGAGATTCATAAAGCTATTCAGAAACTACTTTTTTTTTCTTCCCCTATAATATAAAATTTCAGTAGAGATGACCTTCACATGTTGGAGTAAAGGGAGCAGTAACACCGCAGAGCAGGAGGGCAGAGAAGCATGTGGGGTCTGCAGCTGACATTCCTGCTCACTGTTCCTTTCCTCTGATTTGTCTTATACAGGTTGTCGCCATCAGATGACAGACTAAAACTAAGGCTATTATCATCTGTCTGTTTGTCTGTCTATTTTTGTGGTCGGGTAACCAAGGGAGGTGTTCTGTTTGCATTCGACACAAACCACTCTCCTGTTTTCTCTTACAGTCCAAATATTTCAACATCGTCCCTATTTTTATTAGGGTCTCTCAGGCTTGGCATGCTTCACAGGTTGGAGCAGATCATCCTTTGCTGTGGAGCACCGTTCTGAGCATCATCACAGGAAAATGGGGGGGGGAGAGGGACAGAGAGTGGAGCCAGGAGGAGATTAGGGAGGGGGCTATAATCGGGATGTAAAATAAATAAATTATAAAAAATAAAGTTAAATTTTTAAAAAAGTTTAGAAGCAACTCTGACCTCTGTTCCTTGATGATAGTCAGATCTCCACCCCAATCAAGACAGCCAAATTGTCTCTAGACAGTACCAGCTATTTCCCAAGGGCCCCAGCTCACCCTAGTTGGAAACATCTTTTTTGTAATCAAAGTCCGGCGGCTTTGGTTACTCTGCTATGTAGTGTCCACCTATCAGACAGTCCTAAAATGGAATGGGTGGAAGGGTGAGCCAAATAAGGGATTCAAAGTGAGACCATCAGCCTCTGGATTATGCTGAATAAGAGTATGCTAAGGAAGCTACCATGGTTATTCATCAGTGAGCTCCAGGGATGAAATCCCTCAGTTCTGTTGGTGGGTCAGAAGCTGCAACTGAGCAGCCAGCCTGCTGTGCTTGCCATAGTCAAAGAATTCGGAAGAGGCCTCAGTTGTGCGGGGTGGGTTGTTCACCACTCTGAAACTTACAGGTGTTGAGGGAGGGGAGACTGATATGGAGACATTCAAAAGGCTAAGTGGGAATTTTACGTTCTTTCCAGATGGAGCAATTCCTAAATGAGGTCTCTTTTGTTTGCAAAACTAAAACCACTTCTCCCGAGTTTCAAAATCAATCTGACTTTGAAGATTTTTCTAGAGATCAATTGTTAAAAGGAACAAGCACCCCCTCCTCCCTTCTTGCTTTTCTCAGGTCTGTATTACTGCCCGCTGGGTTCAACAAGTTCTGGCTTCATATCTACATTAAGCTAGTATGCTCCAAACCCCAGGGAGGGCTCTGAGAACCCCTAACCTTAGGGTTCATACCACTGAGCCTACAGTATCACATAAGTTGATTTCTGAATAAAACCAGTGAGTGTGAGTTTGGGAAAATGTGGAAATAGTTCTCAACCTCTGAGACCCAGACAGCACCCTGATGTTAACTGATGGACTCCGGGACCCTTGTGGGTTTGCTGAGAAGGCCAGGTGAGGGTGTCGGTGGTCTGTCTCCCTGGAAGGCCACCTTAGGCACTCACCCTCCTGAGGAATGATGCGAAGCGTGACACTAAGACCTGCATCCTTGATGAGCTTCACAATGTCTGCATGAGGCATGTTGATGATAGACTGGCCATTGACCGCTAAGATCCGGTCTCCCACTTTTAGTTTTGCACAGCGATCGGCAGGACTCCCATCAATGATTCGTCCGATTTTATGGGGCACAGCTGAAAGACAAAACCAAATAAAACAAAACAACCCAATAGAAATAGGTATCAGGGACACCACCAGTACATGCTTTACTTTTCAGTCCCAGCCTAAGACAAACAATGCAAGTCAGAACTCTTTCCTTCTCCATGTCTTTGTCTAAGCAGCTTCTTGGGAGAGCGCAGGACATAAGGAGTCACAGTGTAGAAGAGTGTGAAAAAAAAGCTCAAACTTGAGAGACAGTGGTTCAGCTTCAGAAAGGCATGACAAATGACAGAAACTCAATTTATATCTCCATTTTATTGAGAGGAGGAAAAGGGAAACTCTCTCAGGATCTGCTAATCCAGGGAGCAGCTACCTGGCAAAGTGACGGAATTTACCACTGCTCAGCTTTAGTTTAAGGGCAGCACATTTTCTATCATTCTTTCTTTTTTCACAAGGTGGCCTTGAAAACATGCTAATGTCAAATATACAGTGGACTTCGCTGAAGTTAATATACCACTAGCAGCAAAGACACAACTTTAAGTATCATGAGAAAGGAAAAAAATAGGAACCTGCACTTTAAACAATGATATTCCATTAACCAGAAGATGTACTCCAACTATTGAGATGTTAAAATATTTTAAAACTTTTAGCGTTGGCATAACTTTTTTCTCCTTAGTTCCAATTTTTATTTTAATTTTTATTTATTACAACTTACTCACTTTGTATCCCAGCTGTAGCCCCCTCCCTCATTTCCTCTCAGACTCACCCATCCTCCCTCTTCACCCCTTATGCCCCTCTCCTAGTCCACTGATAGGGGAGGTCCTCCTTTCCCTTCCCTCTGACCCTAGCCATCAGTTCTCATCAGGACTGGCTTCATTGTCTTCCTTTGTGGCCTGGTAAGGCTGCCCTCCCAGGGGAAGGTGATCAAAGAGCCAGCCACTAAGTTCATGTCAGAGACAGCCCCTGCTCCCCTTACTAAAGAACCCACATGGAGACTGAGTTGTTTATGTGGTATAACTTTTATACATTTATTTAAATCAATGAACATATTTTATTTCAACTTTTATTTTTATGTTTGAAAACAGCAAGATACATGGGAATGCATAATTTTTTTTTCGGCAGCTTGACTGACATTTGCTGTAAATGGTGGGCACAAACAAACAAACAAACAAACAAAACAAAAAACAAAAAACCCTACCAAGGTAGATACCTGTGGTAAGATCTCAACATTATAGTGTTCCTGTGTGTCCCTTCAAAGAACTCGTAATCTGGAAACTGTTGATAGACCAACTACTGATCTAATGTGCAGAAACAGAGAAAGACACAGCCCACTGTTAAGATTTTCTCAGGATGTCTACACCTTGAACTCTCAGTTTTGTGCATTTGTTATAGGGAAGGGTGGATTGTCAACTAATAACCACGGAAAGGAAGGGCAATTAGTGAGTTAATGAGCTAGGACATTGCTCACTCTTCTACTGTGAAAGGTTACAGATAGCATCTAAAAGTATCGGTCAGGTTTGTGTCCCTGAAGTGAAAGTCATCCGGTTTGAGCCCATATACATTTTTATTTGCCACTAGTTAGCACTAATGGACTTAATTAAGATAGCACTATTTAGAGTTTACTAATGATCACCTTAGAGTCACAGACTATGGCAGAGACCTATGTAGGGACCAGTGAGGTGGCTCATGAGGTGATGTGCTTGCTCAGGATGATGACTTGAGGATTTACTCCTCAGATCTCACGAGGCAGCAAGAGCGATCCAACGCTACTGAGTTGCTATCAGATTACCACAGGACACTGTGGGACTTGGTGCTACACAGATACACGGGTGTGAATGTGCAAGGTGCGTCCATGCACACACACATTATTCACATAGGCACATGCATAATACACACACAAACACACATGTACTGAAAGAATGAATGTAATAAGGTGTTTGGTTTTCATGCAAAATTGGGGGAGAAATGTTTTTGTTTTGTCTTCCCCGTTTCATAGTCAGTACTTCTTGGAATGATGCATAAATAGTTTGGCCATCCTGCCCATAAATGTGCACACTGTCATCTAGCCTGTGATTTTTTGGGGAAGCTGCCTAAGATCTAACTTTTTTCTAACTATTATTGGAATAATAATATCACTGACTCACAGTAGTTCTGAAAACTAGATGGGCCATCATTTGACGGTAGCCAGAACAGTGCTTAGCCGTTAAGACTTGATCTGGAAGTACTAACTATCATTCTTTTTATTACTATTTCCTTTCAGATCTTTCTTACATAACCATTGTGTGTGTGTGTGTGTGTGTGTGTGTGTGTGTGTGTGTGTGTATGTATGTGTGTGCACGTGTTTCTTTCTATATGGGATAATTTATAAACACTAAAACAAAAGGATAGGAAGAGTATAATCTTCCCTAAGCATCACATGGAAGACTGCTTCATTTAAGAAAAAGAGATGTGTTTCAGGGATTAGATAGACACTAGATGAAGCCAAGTTTGTCTTTCTCTGATTTCTCACCAAAACTATTGCACATTTTGTTGAAAACATTAACTTGAAACCAATAGTTTATTATTCAAAGGAAAATAAATGTTATGCAGATCTCTTGGTTATCTGCCGTTGTATTTATTGAGGGCAAGTAACAATTCTTTCTATCTCTTTTGAGTATTTACTAACACAAGACAAGCACTTTTTAAAGTGATATTTATTTAATATTTAAATTTAATTTTTATTTAAATTTATTTATTTAAAATTAACATTAAAATTTAACATCTAATTTAAAAGTTCTTCGTACATGTAGTTATATTTATATTGAAATGCACATGATGTAACCCTTAAATCCTATCAAGTAATGGATGTTATTGTGAGTTCGCAGTGGAAGAAATGGAAGCAGACAGCAGTTAGTAATTTGTTTCAGGTCACAGAAGGCAAATAGGGCTATGAGCCTCAGGGCTCTAGACTGTAGTCATCAAAGCTCTTGGGATCCACCACCCTGCCTCTCTTGGCTTTTCCTGATGCCCAGCCTCTGACCTCTGACTTGCTTTGCAAGTCAGCCTGGTGCTTTTATTTGGGACTATGTCCTTCCTCTATGCCAGGGGTCACAGAAGGTTCCGAGTAGTTTGAATTTGGGAGAGGATGGGAGCCAGGAACTGTGCTTGACAGATCTTTTGATGCAGTTGTCTTTTGACAGGTGAGGCATGAAGGGGAGAGAAAATATTGGATAGCCCTCAGATCCTGTTTAGTTAGGACTTCCCATCACTGTACTGTTTCTTTGCTTGAAGAAATTGTGGGGGGTATGAGAAACACTGACATTTGAAATGAAATTAAAGACTAGGCTGCGAAACACTGACAATGCTTGCTCGGATGGCTGGTTTTCGGCTCTCACTTATTTGCGCCTCCACTGCGCTGTGTCACCTGGAGTTCGAGAGACATAAAATCCCAACTGTTTCAAAGTATATATCCTCTCCCCACAATTTTGTGTAGTCAACAATAATGTAAATGCACAATACAAGAGTATTATTAATTTCCAAGTGCCATTCAAGGCCCTTATTTTAAATCCTTATAGCAGAGTGATCGAGAAAACAAGCCAGGGTCAAATCCAGCCCTGAAACCCTTGCCTGTGGAGTCAGACCTTGGGATGCCTTCCTTCTGGTGGCTCTGTGGGACCAAAGCTCTTGCTCCACGGGGGACAGGGACTGACCCGTCTGGCTATGTGGAGCATACTGCTGGAGATCATCTCAACAAGGTATCATAAATAGAATTATTTGCTTGTGATGATTTTAGGGGCATTTTAACTTTATTTCAGTAGCTAGAATAATGAAGAATAATACAATAAGAATAAATAAATAATAAATAAAAGAATAACAGAAGGAGGAGGAGGAGGAGAGAAGGAGGAAGAAAAACTGAAGTGGAAATGAGTTCCACGTTAGCCACACAGAAGGCAGAATGCTTTACCTAAAACCTGAATGAACCTTAGTAACAAGCGCTCAGCTGCTGGAGGCACCTGACGTGGCTTTGATACAGACGCCTTCTATTGGCGTCTGCTTTTATACAGTGTTTGAGACTCTTGGCAGCCGAAACAGCTCCACTTCTCCTTATTGGCAGTTCCCCTACATACACAAGTACATTCAACAGACCTTCGACAAGGATGCTTCCTCGGAGGATTCTCTCTGGGAACAAAATGCAGTTCCTTTTGCTCAGTGATGAGGTCTGCTGAGCTTACGACCCCTGTGCCTTTTGTGTGACAGTAATGGGATTACAGAGCAGGAAAGAAGCCCTGACCTTGCTTTCTATTATTGGGATGAATGGTACTCATCAATTCCCTGAGGACTGATGACTATGGTAGCTGCTGGAGTTGGTCCTTTTCGACACCTGCCTTGTAGACATCATCGGTTGCACGGCAGCATCAATCAAGTCTTTGGATTAGTCTTCCTGCCGTACTGGGTTTAGGATACACGGATATTTGAAAAAAAGTCTATCGGCTACTGTATAATTATAATGTATCTATTCACTCATTTGCTGGAGACAGGGTCTTGCTACGTTGCCCCGGCTGTCTTGGACCGCAGGCTGACCTGGCACGTGCCTCATTCTTTCCTTGCTTTAGAGTGCTGGGACCGTGGGCATGCACCGTCATGCTCGGCCATCTTTCTTCTGCTGCTGGGATCCCGGGAGAAGGGATTTAGCTCTTTCCCTTGTTCCCCCTTTTTCATTATTTCAGTATTTTCATTACATGTTGCTTGGGTGTTCTTCATCTCAGAGAAGGGAAAGCTTGCCACTGGTGTTTACATTTAATTACCTTCTTGTTAGCAGGCCGCACAAAGTGGCCTTAGAGATGGAGGGCGGCATTTTGGCGGTGGAAGAGGATTTGCATCAATCATGTCAAATTTACAAGAGGGGAGAGAGTTCTGAAGGGAGTGTGACAAACAGAAATACCTCCACAGCAATCCATACCAAAAGCTGGCCTTACTTCACAATTCTGTTAATTAGCAAAGGTTAAGCATTAGCTTGAAGCCAGGGAAGTTTATTTGGGTTTTGAATCCATAGCCT